GATAAAACTGATGAACAAGCCAGACAATCTGCCATCGAAAAAGTCTCACATTTAACTATGCGGGGGGGGGCATCGTCTCAACTGATGAATGCTATGAAGAGAACCTGACAGAACGAGGAAAGAAACGAAAGAGCTGAGGAACAGAACAGACGACTGGCGTAGTTCCATGATTTGAAACGAAGCGCTCAAGTCTCATTTGGAACCAAAACAAACATGGCGAAATTTCGGTGTCCAACATATCACATGACAGAAGAAAGTAAACGCAAATCTGCCAAGCTGTCGTCTGATGCAGCCAACAACTCGTAATATCAAAATGCGATTAGTGGAGATGATCGAAGAGCATAAGTCGGAAGAAAGGCTGCAGGTGTAAAAGCAATGACCGTCAACAACAAACGATCCTCCCTTCAATGCCTCTAACTCTGCGGCAGGAAAATCCTTCGCCTCAGCACATGCTGCTTCGGCTAGTAAAGAGGAATGTGAACTTGGATATCAGCAGCTTCGGCTGCTGGCACTCTGACCTTAGGACAGACCTCACTTGAGTTACACCTCACTGACATGGAAGGCTACATTACATCACAGTTAGCCCTCACATGCAACCGACAGTTCTGTTTGTTAGAGGCAAGCTTCGACTGATTCAAGACAGTGTGAGTTACGCTTCGATGAATGAACGTTCCAGGGCATGATGCACAACGTTACGTAAGAAATCAGCTAACCTCGAAAATTTTCCATCTCGTAATTATTACGTTACTAATTTTGGATTGTGTTCTTCACGCATTAAAGATGGTGGGCAATACCCGTCAAATCAGATGCGCGGTACCATGTCTGTCTCGAGCTAAAGTTGTTGTACAGGAGCTTCAGGCAATATCGTATCTTACAATATCCAGGCATACCCGACAAGTTTGCTGAGGTTTATAGCAGGCCCTCATATTTGCCATAAGGGCATAGAGCCATACGAGGCATTGTATATCGAAATGGAACGTAAATTGACGTAGTGTCAGATCTGAGACAGCCCTTACGACGGGTCAAGAGAGTACACAAATTTCCTTGAACAGCGAGGTAGTTACTCGGAAATTGGCACCGTAGCGAATTTGAAAAGTGACACTTACTTACATGTTTCGACTTTGTAGACGTCCTGACGATGAAAAGCCGTACAATGAATGCCGGCACGAATGCGGTGACGTCAAGAAGTGTAAGCCATTGCAAGCGGAATAATTCAGACATGCACCATTGACGATTCGATTTCAGGCAAGGTCTCCACCGGACATCAGGATTCGTTGTCGTTGAACTCGAAAACATTTCTGACGAGAGTTTCGAATTCGTCGGCTGATCAGTCCCCTGAAGTAGAAGAAAAAATCAGAACAAAGCGAGCAGCCTTCAGACATAAAAAAGTTTCACGGATGAAAGGGATAAAGAAAATGTTACCGCGACAGACGGGAAAAACATCGAAAAATAAAAGCCTTTACAAACATGTAATGCTGCGAAAGCTCGGGTCTCGCTCGACGAACAAACAAAAGTTCGGAAAACGCAAACGGCTTCAGAAGAATGTCGTTAGAAAACTGTCGCGTAAGTACAGCATATCCGCTTCTGATCGATCGAGCGAAATCGCCAAAGCTGCGTATTCGCGAATGGCACAAGGAAGAAGGAAGAAATCAAACGTCTGGAAGAAGATGGTTAAAGCTAACACGAAATTCACGTCGAAGAATGTCAACAGGAGAAAGATTTCAAAGCAAGCCAAGAAGCTGCCGGGACTCGGCAAAGTAACCCGTGGAAAATACGGGCGGCAACGAAAAGCAAGTCAGGGACAGATGAGTCCAGCCGTTGGGAAGCAAATGCAGCATAAAATAGACGAGGTCTATACGAAGACGTCTAGAACGGGCATTCGCAAAAGTTCGAGTGGATATGTCCAGATATCAGATAAACGATATGGATATGAATCATCGAAAGAACCAAAAAATGTCTCAGCTGCAACCAAAGCCGAAGACAAGCTAAAGCAAAAGAACTACGATGCAGAGTCTGTAGAAGTTGACCGCGTCGAAGAGAATGGAAAAACAATAACGAAAAATGTACAAGAATATGGTAATTACCGTAATTATGTGGACAGAGACCATTTGCGGAGAAGAATTGAGCAGCAGGATGCGACGAATTACACGGATGGTGACAAGACGTACGCAACTTTCGCCAGTAGTCTGAACAGCGTCTCAGATTCCAAGCACCCTTTATCGAAGGATATCGAGTCGGCGATCATCTTGTCAAATGCGTTAAAAAAGCAGGGACGACGTGTCGTTAACTTTCTCGTCAAAGGGGGCAGAAAGTTCAAGAGAAGGTTAAAACAAAAATATTGTGAGAAGGAATTTGCAAACATCCACGCAAGCCGGATGGAAAATTCTCCCGCCTTCAAAGATGTAGTCAGTGAGGTTGAACAGGCAGAAGGCGCGAACGAGGGCGAACTTCCTTCGTCCGTTTACGATCATGCGGATCAAACTCATGGCGGTGAAAAAAATGACGAGGTCGAGGGAGCAGATAGAAATTTGGATGATCTCGTTTCAAATGCACTTTCAGAGCAACAGACGCAGGGCATACAAGGACAGACTCAACCAGAGATCGCGGAGTCTTCGGAAAGCGATCTGGACGAAAACGGATCTACGGAAGATTTGCTGACATCCAGCAGTGACGAAGACGTTGTAGGAACGGACAACGTAGAGGAGTCGTCGAATGACAGCGACATGACAGATTCGTCGTTGGGCAGCGAACCGCTGGGGGACCAAGTAGCTACTTTCACGAAACAGGACGCTACGGTAGATGAAAATGCTGATGAAAGCGATTCTTCGGAGCAGGACGGAAATGAGACCGAACGAACCGACACGGACGGAGGGCCATTGGACGATGGAAATGACGAACCAGGCGGAGATATGCTAAACGACGAGATCGAACCACCTGCCGGTCGAAGTCAACTGTACATATACACGAAAGGTGAATCTGGCGTCTAACGTAAAGCAGACGTGATGAGATTTTTTAGGTGACCAAAGACTCGACACCGCACAAGAAGCTTCACAAACGATCGGTCGTACGGTGAAGCCGGGGCGGCAGAACGGTTCGCTAAACGAAACAGTCGAACGTGCAAAGGATGACATGCTTGGACGATTACTCAGTCCCGGTTTAAACGAGTCAGTTCAAAATGAACACTGGCGCATTTCTGGTGAACCAAAGGACAAAGCAGAAACAAAAGAGTCAACTACTCAAGCAGGACATCTTGGACAGGCGAACGACAAGAAGCCAACACCGGGTTCGACGGGAGTTGAGAAACTGACGAAAGCGTCCGCTTCCCAAAAAGTGAGAGACACTGAGAATAAAGAGTTGTGGCTTAGAACAAAACGAGTTACAGGTGAGGCAAATGAATGTAAACGAATACTGGCACAGGAAGCGATAACAAACTTTGACAAGGCAAACGCACCGGAAGCTGTCATAAGGGCTACCGTTGTTAAAAGTAACAGAGGTTTAGGGAAAACAGCTTCGAGGCAGTCATCGAAACAGAAAAAGAGCCATGATCATCAAACGATGACCTGCACGGCGTAGAAGGAAGTGAAACAAGTGAAAAAAGAAACAAAAAACAGGTTTCTGCTTCTCAGACGTGAAAAGGAAATGGCAAAAAGGCTATATCTGACGGAATGGCACAAGCACAGGGGATGGGACACCTGTAAGTTATGAGATGGAGGCAGAATCAGAAAGGATAGTAGAGGAAAAAAACCACTTGCGCGGGAACGTAGAAGAGACTGCACAAAAAATGTACGAGAGCCGCTATCCAAACTTCTACCTCTAAGTGTAAAGAAGATTTTGAGGAACGCGACAGCGTGGAGGAAGAGTTCCCGAGTTCCTGTGAATGTGGTAGATCCTCACCCAAGATTTGATGCGCTTCCGTAATGGGCGCGATGGAGTCAAGCCAAGCCGCGGGCTACAACCATTTTCATCGTAAAACATGGAGCACAAAAAATGCAAGAAAGCGTTTTTGTCATCCTTACAGAGAAAACGAAACTGGATACTACTGGCGACATGTGATACGGTGACCAAGAGCAAACAATTGCAGCAGTGGCATTTTTCCAGCTGCATGTTTCACGTTATTCTGTCAATGTTGCAAAAACGCAGCACTACACGCGAAACACACTGTGGATCGTTGATGAACTGGTACAAACATATTTTGCGTGATGTGCCGAACGGAAAGCTCAACTGTAAAGCACGCCCATCCATCAGTCTGAGGAACGTTTCTCCGCCGGACCTCTCCCCTCCCCCCCCCGTCCGCCCGTGAGAGAGTCCATGAGATACAAAGCAGGATTTATCAGT